TAATGCAAACTAGAATTTTATCTAGGAAGAATAGCAGAAAATCCCAAACAACAGTTTGTTTCAGAATGGGGGTTTTCCTTCTCAGAACCTTTAAAAATAACCACCTGCCCCTACAGTGGCGCAGTCGTGTGGTGCTCTTGGGGCTGCCCTGGCCAGTCAATAAATTCTTTGCCTGCTTTTTTAAAATAAATTATCAGCCTCCGGTGGTCTTATTTTGAACCCAGGGTTCGACCCCACAACAGACTTTAGAAAAAAAGTGTGCCCTTTAAGACAGATGCAAAAGTGAGGTGACTTCCAGGTGGGCATGACTGGACAGCACTGAGTGGCATTACCACTTGTACCAGCAGAGGGAGTGCTAAGTCCGCAATGACAGCTGTGCTTTGTGCAACAGTGAATGGGGTTGGGATGCTCTTGAAGGGAAGCGACTGGCCCCCACAATATGCCTTTTGGAATATTGCCATTAAGCTGGTTATTAAGGACAAAAGACTCAGAAGGAAGCCTGTGAACTCCCCTATCTGCCTAGGACGTTGGACAGAGGGCCTGTTCCACGTCCTGCAGTTTAACGTGAGCTCCTGTGACCTTTGTTCAGTGCTCCCGTGTCACGGGGTCAGCAAACAGCCTTTCCCCAAACAACGGCTTTTCCATCCCCCGGGACTCTCTTCCTGCCCTTTGAAGGCCCACCGCACATGGATACGACCCTCCACTGCCCATGCTTCTCTGGGTCTCTGTGCTCATGGCAGTCCCGACTGTGTGATCACAAAATAAACTGAGGGCATTTCCTCCAGTTCCTCTGTCTCTTTACTTTGACTGTTAGCCCAGCTAGAAGTTCTTTCTTTAGCCCTCACACTCTCAAATACTGTTATTAATACTATGTCCCAAACACTGACACATGGATGGTAGGTAGGTAGATAGATAAACAGACAGATGAATAAATGAAAGTTTTTGGTCAAATACTTTAACAAATGTATGTATAATATAAACTTCACCAACGATTACTGGCAGGATTTGGTTTTATTCATTTACAAAATGCCAATATGTCAAAATAACCACAACATAAAGGATATGCAATATGCAATCCTATATAATCCTATATAATAAAAGCCTATTATGCTAAGTGTTCAGTTGTCCGTTCAACCAATCAAAGCATAATATACTAATGATATGCTGTGACATGCACTGACCACCAGGGGGCAGATGCTCCGACAGGTAGGTTGGCTTGCTGCTCGGGTCTGGTCCATTGGGACTGAGAGAAAAGGGCCCTGAAGCCCTCCCGCAGTCCCTCCCCAGCTGGCCAGCCTTGGGGATCCTTCAGGGGATGTCAGAAGCCAGTTTCCACCCAATCCTTCGGGCCAGGCCAAGGGACCCTACTGGTGCACGATTTCGTGCACCAGGCCTCTAGTGTACTTTATATTTAAATACTAAATGTAACCTTTTATTTATATTCATTAAGTTAGTTATTAAACCCAAATATCCAGTAAATATAATGTAATGGACATAAAATGAGGTCTGGGCTCTTTCCACCTAAATTAAAGCCTTGTGCCTGGAACAGTTTAACAGACTCAACACATCCCGCTGAGTCCTGCAGCCTCCTGAGAGCACATTCACATGCCACGCTGTTCTCTTTGCTTTGCTTCCCTCACATCATCATACTCATCCGAATTTTTTAAAAATATGTTTTTATTGCTTTCAGAGAAGAAGGAAGAGGGAGAGCGGGATAGAAACATCAATGATGAGAATCATGGACCGGCTGCCTCCTGCACAATCCCTATTGGGGATGGAGCCCACAACCCAGGCATGTGCCCTTGACCAGGAATCGAACCATGACCTCCTGATTCATAGATTGATGCTCAACCACTGAACCATGCTGGCCAGGCTCATCAGAACTTTTTTTTTCATCAGAACTTTTTAATCCCAAATTTAAGGTACTCATAATGGGACTAACCCTACTCCTTGGCTCATGGCATAGTTATCATTGATCTCTGCATGCATGCTCCTTTTTAGTTTCTGTAATCCACCCCAAGAACAAAATCACTGACAACAATTTACACAATCACACATGTCTTGGTTTCTCCTATATTCCTGTCTTACTTGTGCAAGGTAACCATTATCCCGAATTTTGTGTTTAACATTTCCTTGTTTTTTTAAATAGTTTTTTTTGAGATTTTTGTGTTTTTAACATTTGCTTATCTTTTAAAAGAAAAGTATGTGTGAATATTTAGATTTAGTTCTTGAATTTTATTTTTTAAAACGTCACCTTATTTGACATTTTTAAACACAACATTAAGATTTGCTCATGCTGATGTGGATGTCCAAGTATTCATTGATTTGCATATAATATCCCAGATGGGTATATACCACACCTCCTGTCTAATGGGCTTTTGGTTTGAGTTTGCAAGACCGCCACGCAGGCCTCCCTTTTGTCCACACCTCTTACATCTGGACTCCAGAGAACAGATTGGTGGTTGCCAGAGACAGGGTGGGGTGAGCAAAATGGGTGACGGTTGTCAAGCTTCCTGTTAAATATTAACTAGTTCTGGAATGTAAGGTAAAGGAGGGTGATTGTAATGAATAGTACCTGTTGTGTATTTGAAAGTTGCTAACAGAGTAGAGCTTAGTTCTCATCACAAGAAAAAAATTATAACTGTAAAATTTACATGGTGGTGTAAACTTAATCATTTCACAATATATACAAACATCAAATCATTATGCTGTACAACTAAAACTAGTACAATGTTATATGGCTATTATATCTCAACTAGAGGCCCAGCGCATGAAATTCATGCATGGGTGGGGGTCCCCTCGGCCCAGCCTGCACCCTCTCCAATACAGTACCCCTTAAGGGCTGTCCAACTGCTGGTTTAGGGACTGGTTTAGGGATCGGGCCTAAACCAGCAGTCGGACATCCCTCTCACAATCTGGGACCACTCGTTCCTAACTGCTCACCTGCCTGCCTGCCTGATCGCCCCTAATTGTCCCCTCTGCTGGCCTGGTCACCCCAACTGCCCCCCTTCCCCAGCCTGGTTGACCCTCGCTGTCCTCCTCTGCGGGCTGGTTGCCCCCAACTGCGCTCCTGCTGGCCTGGTTGCCCCACGCAACCTGCTGTTTGGTCCTTTGGTCGTCCCTCACTAACCCCCCTGCAGGCCTGATCACCCCCAGCTGCCCCTCATGCCGACCTGGTTGCCCAATGCAGCCTGTTTGGTCATCCGTTTGGTTGTTTCTGTTGCGACGGTTGCTTAGGCTTTTATAGAGATTTTTTTAAATATGGAAAACCATTTGTTTCCTGTGCCATTTACTGACTAGCCCCTCCATCCTGGGCACCTCCCTCATTTCTCAACATCCCACACAGGCGTGGGTCTGTTTCCAGGCTCTCTAGTCCACTGGCAGTCTGCTCCTGATCCGTGGAGAGGACCAGACTCTCCTGACAGTCATGGTGGCTGGGAAAGAAAGGCCCCTTTAATTCTCCTTTAAGGTGACCTTGCTGGTTTTGATCACTTACACTTTCATGTAAAGTTCAAAACTCAGCTTGTCAAATTTCAATGAAAAATCCTATTGGGATTTTAATTGCATTTGCATTACATCTATAGAACTAAAGAAAAATGGTTTGCAATTAAAAATTTGTCTCCATTGGAAAGTACATTTTCTTTTTTGCTCTATGGACTGCAGTTTTGGTCCTGTCCACATGATGGCACCACCAACCAAATAATCAAATTTCACAGCTGACCCCCTAACACATATACAGTGTTAATATTGTATTAGATGCCCAAGGGTTTGGGAGGGGAACCTACATTTCATAAGAAACGTTCAATAGCCTATCGAGTTTTTAGTACATTCGGTAAAAATGTATGAAGTAGTATGTGACAAATAAATTAAACAAGGGAAAATATGACAATCTATTCTTCAGTCCTTTTACCTTAGAAAGCCATGACGAATTATAGATTAAAAATTCATCACCAAAGAACATGACAAAGACACGGTGTGAAGTAGGTCTGGAGAGGAAGGCTGTATTTCCTGAACCCGCGAGCTCAGGGCAGGCGGGGAGCACAGGTCCCCCAGGCTGAGGCCAGAAGGGCGGGTCACATGACCTGGGTCCCTCACACCCCGGGGAGGGGAAGGGCCCCTTTCCCGAGACCCCTGAGCTCCAACCACCTCTGCTGCACCGCGCCGGGGGATCGGGTCTCCGACAACGTGTCCGCGCACCAGCCTGCATCTCACCCACTGCAGCGCGGGTGTCACGGATGCGCTGGGGCAGCCCGGTCTCGGCACCCGCGGGCCAGGAGGGGCTGTCCCGGCAACGGCGTCAGCGTTCACACCCGGCCCCGGGGTGGGCGACACCGTGCGCGGCGCGGCGCCCCGCCTGACGCTCTGGGCGCGGAGAGAGCGAGCGACCTCACCCCGGCCCGGCCGCCGCCCGGCCCGGCGGTGAAGCGGCGGTGCCCGGCGGGACTGAGCCCGCCCTCCGGCCCCGCGGGCCTCGCCCCAGGCTCAGAGGCACCGGCCGGGAGCAGGAACCGCGGGCCGGTGACCCCTGGAGTGGGGGGCCCGGGGCCTCAGGTGACACCTCTCCTCCGCTCCCCCAGCACGGGAGGGCGACCTCCCGCAAACCGCCCTCGCGCGGCGCCTCCCGCTCCCCTGCCGGCCGCCCACGTGCCGCCTTCCCGCCCATCGCGCTACGGCAGCGTCCGCAAGGGGGCGCCCTGGCCCCGCGCTCGGCTGCCTGGAGGCGGAGGCCGCGCGGGGCGTGCGGTCACCCGGACCCGGGCCGCCCGGCTGCGGGGCTGCGGGGCTGGTCGCGGGCGCGGGGCCGGGCCGGGGGCCTGGGGCGGCGCTGGACCCCGGCGGTACAGCCCGGAGGGCGCGGCCGAGGCGGGAACCGCGGCCCCGCGCCCGGCTCCGCTCCGCCCGCGGCCGGTGGGCGGGGCGACGCGGTGACGTCAGCGCGGCCGCGGCCGGATAAGAGGCGGCGCGCGCTCGGGCCGCACTCACTCCCCAGCGGCGCGGACATGGAGCTGCTCCGCACCATCGCCGCGCCGCCCGCGGGCGCCAAGGCCGCCGAGCAGCCGGGCCGGGCGGGCGGCGACCCGAAGCGCCGGCGGCCGCCTCCCGCCGAGGAGCCGCCGGCCGCCCCGCAGCCCCGCCACCACGCGGGCGCCGAGCTGTCCCGGGTCGTCGTGGACCCCACGACGGGGCGGCGCTACTGCCGCGGCCGGGTGCTGGGCAAGGTGAGGCGGCCGCCGCTGTCCTCGGCCGTGTTCGCCGGTCCCGCCCGTCCCCGCCGCCCCCGGCTCAGCGCCTCGCTTTGTTCCCTGCAGGGCGGCTTCGCCAAGTGTTACGAGTTGACGGACCTGGCGAGCAACAAGGTCTACGCGGCCAAGATCATCCCGCACAGCCGCGTGGCCAAGCCCCACCAGCGGGAGAAGGTGCGTGCGGGGGGCGCCCGGGGCCGCGGGGGGCGCCGCCCGGCCGGCGGGGCTGAGCCTGTGCCTCCCGCAGATCGACAAGGAGATCGAGCTGCACCGGCTGCTGCACCACAAGCACGTCGTCCAGTTCCACCACCACTTCGAGGACCAGGACAACATCTACATCCTGCTCGAGTACTGCAGCCGGCGGGTGCGTGGCGCCGGGGGCCGGGCTGGGGGGGCCGCAGGGACGGGGGCCGCGGGGCCGGGCTAGGGGGGCCGCGGGGCCGGGCTGGGGGGCCGCGGGGACAGGGGCTGGGGGGGCCGCGGGGTTGGGGGCCGCGGGGCCGGGCTGGGGGGCCGCGGGGACAGGGGCCCTCTGGGGGAGGAAACCCCACATCCTGAAGCTGATGTCCCTGCCTGACAGCGCCTCCTCTCCCCTCCCCCAGTCCATGGCTCACATCCTGAAAGCGAGGAAGGTGCTGACGGAGCCCGAAGTCCGGTACTACCTCCGGCAGATTGTGTCGGGACTGAAGTACCTTCACGAGCAGGAAATCCTTCACAGGGACCTCAAACTCGGTGAGTCCTTCATCGGACACTGGCTGTGGAGAGGGTCCCGCTTCCCTCTGGCTCCCTGCCTCATGCAGCCCCTCCCTGGGATCCAGCCTTCAGTCTTGCTGGTGAATGGGGGGTGGAGGGGAAGGCTAGAATGGTCAGCAGCTGGCCGCTTGCCCCCAGAGCTGTGTGTGTGCACTCGCTCAGGGCCTTCAGAGCACTCAGGCCACGTTGTTTGTCCCCCAGGGAACTTTTTCATTAACGAGGCCATGGAGCTGAAAGTCGGGGACTTCGGTTTGGCAGCCAGGCTGGAGCCCTTGGAGCACAGAAGGAGGTGAGAGCCAGAAAGACCCCCTCCTCCTGGGGTCTGTGCAGGCCAAATGGGCTCCATTAATTCCCATCAGTGAATGCTCAACCTGAAAATCACAGCAGTGTGAACTCGGGAAAGCGTCTGCTAAGTGTCCACTCTGGGCCTGACTGGGCCGGGTCCGATGCCTCCTGCCCGCACGTTGAATAGGAAACAAACCTGTCCTGCGTTTGCCCACTGTGTACACAAGCCTGGGCGCATTGGTTCAAACACTTTGTCCGTGTGGGCGGAGGAAACGGCATGCCTTAAAAACACACACCAAGAATCACTTGGTCAGGTGCCAGCTGTCTAAAGGCCAAAACCAAAAGTCAAACATTTCCAAACAGAAACTCAACACAGTGCTTTCAAGGTTTTATCGAGGGAGCCAAGTGCAAACAATGGAACAGGCCCTAATGAGCTCTTCCTTTCTTGTCTCTGCAGAACAATATGTGGCACCCCAAACTATCTCTCCCCCGAAGTCCTCAACAAGCAAGGGCACGGTTGCGAGTCGGACATCTGGGCGTTAGGCTGTGTCATGTAAGTGACCGCACCACAGCGACCGCGAAGCAGATTGGCTGCGAGCTCGTATTTGAAAAGGCTGCTTCATGACCATTGCTGAAGGTGTTTCCTTCCCCCCCAGGTATACAATGCTCCTGGGAAGACCCCCGTTCGAAACCACGAACCTGAAAGAGACATACAGGTGCATAAGGGAAGCGCGGTACACCATGCCGTCCTCCCTGCTGGCCCCCGCGAAGCACTTGATAGCGAGCATGTTGTCCAAAAACCCTGAGGACCGGCCCCGTTTGGATGACATCCTTCGACACGAGTTCTTTCTGCAGGTTGGTGTGTTTCCGGGGTCTCCCGATGACATGCTGCTGATGCCATCGCCAGCAGGTCACTGACTGCCTTTCTCGCCCACAGGGCTTCACTCCCGACAGGCTTTCGTCCAGCTGCTGCCACACGGTCCCAGACTTCCACCTGTCCAGCCCCGCGAAGAACTTCTTCAGGAAAGCCGCTGCTGCTCTCTTTGGTGGCAAAAAGGACAAAGCAAGATACATCGACACACACAGTAAGTGTGAAGACCTCTCCCTGTTCTGTACCCAGTGTTATGTTTAGGTTGGACCCGTTAGTTAGAAGAGGCTTTAGCAGTGGCGTAGAGTAGCCAGTATGTTTGTGCACTCCTGCATTTTTTATGGCATAACAAACCTGCACTGCAGAGCGGGATGGGTGGCTTTCTGTGGCATAGGCAGTGAAGTGTGCTTCTTGCATAATCGAAGCTAATGGCAGCGATGAAAATGCTGTTTTTGCCCTGGGTGCTCAGAGTTAGTTACTAATGCAAAGTGAGGAACTATACTAGCTCTGTTCCTACCTGGTGAGGACAGAGAAACACTCGAAATCCTTGTCCTCGGTTTGCAGATAAAGCATCTAAAGAAGATGAAGACATTTACAAGCTCAGGCATGATTTGAAAAAGGCTTCAATAACACAGCAACCCAACAAACACAGGACAGATGAGGTAAGCTGGAAGAGACCAAAGTCATTTCACTCTGTTAAATATCGCTTGCTCTGGAATTATCATAGTTCGAACATGTCAGTGTTTATTTTCTTCCATCCCTTTACCCTTCCAAAGGAAAGATTTTTGTCTTTCAGTTGAACAAGGTATGCAATTGAGCTACTATAGTGGCTCTTGCCTGGCCTTTGTCCACGGTTCTAACCTCTCCGTGTCCACTGCTCTAACCTGGCTGTTCTACTTCTTGGCCTGAGTGACTTTCAGGGGATGGACTCATTGTGTGGTTCTCTTCCCAGGAGCTCCAGCCGCCTCCCGCCTCAGTGGCCGGGTCGGGAACAGCCGGCGTGGAAAACAGGCAGCAGGTTGGAGATGTGATTCGAATGATCGTCCGAGGGACCCTTGGCAGCTGCAGCAGCAGCAGCGAATGTAAGTGATGCCAACAACTTTGCCGATGGGGAAATGTAGGTGCCAGGGCTCAACACTGGGTAACAGGCCTTTCTGCCTGCACAGAACTAACATACCATTGAAGGAGTAAGCCGAGGCTGGGTAGAAATTTGGGAGGGGTTTGGGGTTCCACATCCTTAGAAGAATCAGTGGAAGGAAACATGGCACCTGCCAAAGCCGAGGGTTTGTTAGTTATTCCGTCACTTCCTCACTGTCCAGGCCTGGAGGACAGCACCATGGGGAGCGTGGCAGACACGGTGGCCAGAGTCCTCCGCGGGTGTCTGGAGAACATGCCGGAGGCCGACTGCACTCCCAGGGAGCAGCTGAGCACCTCCTTCCAGTGGGTCACCAAGTGGGTCGACTACTCCAACAAGTACGGCTTCGGGTACCAGCTCTCCGACCACACGGTGGGCGTCCTCTTCAACAATGGGGCCCACATGAGCCTCCTCCCCGACAAGAGGTGAGCCTGCACGTGCAGTCCTGGGCACCCGGGCTCACCGAGACGTGGAAACAGCCGCTGACCTGCCTGTCCTCCCCTGCCACTCCTGCCCGCAGGACCGTCCACTACTACGCGGAGCTCGGCCAGTGCTCTGTCTTTACAGCGACCGCTGCCCCTGAGCAGTTCATCAGCCAAGTGACAGTGCTCAAGTACTTCTCCCACTACATGGAGGAGAACCTGATGGACGTAGGTGCTGGGTGCAGGACCGGTGCTGGGAGGGGGTCTGGCCGGGTGACTGTGTGTCCTCGGGGCTGCGGGGGGCAGCGCGGGGGGAGGGGCAGGGATCCCGGGCCACCTGGCATCTTCCTTCGGGAGGCGGCTGCCTCGGGGAATGAGTGGAGTGCACACTGCATCTCACAGGCACCCTCCAATCTCTTCCAGGGCGGAGACCTGCCCAGCGTCACTGACACCTGCAGGCCGCGGCTCTACCTCCTTCAGTGGCTCAAGTCTGACAAGGCCTTAATGATGCTCTTCAACGACGGCACCTTCCAGGTGAGCAGCCTGGGGAAGGGCAGGTGCAGGTCTTGAGGAGGCACTTGCCGTCCGGCTTGTGACCTGGCATTTCCCATGCGGTCAGAGACCTAATGTCGGGGTTTGCTCTCAAAGGTGAACTTCTACCACGACCACACGAAGGTGATCATCTGCAGCCAGGACGAGGAATACCTGCTCACCTACATCAACGAGGACCGGCTCTCCTCCACCTTCCGGCTGACCACGCTGCTGGTGTCGGGCTGCGCGCCAGAGCTGAAGCAGCGGATGGAGTACGCGCTGAACATGCTCTTGCAGAGGTGCAACTAGCGGACTGGCCGCCGCTCCTCCCACGGAGCCACGCGGGCGCAGGGGAAGGTTCTGCACGTGGAGAGGCAGGCAGCGGTGGTACGAAGGCCGTCGTCCTGGCTGCCGGACGTCTGAGGATGCCGCTCTTGGCCTGGACGGTCCGAGTGGGGACCAGATGCAGTGATCTGTTGTAGAAGTTTTTCCAGACAGTTTCAGAGAAAGGTGCATTGACTCTGACTCCCGTTGAGCGTTTCAGGCAGAGGACTGGGGCTGTGACCATCCTTCCCGCAGGGGAGGAGCCGATGGAAAAGGCTGCGAGGGCAGCGGGGCAGCGTTTGGCTGCTTAACTGTGAACTATGGCCATCTACAATGTTTTTGGTTACTTTTAAAGACACTTGTGGCTGGAAAAGTGCATTCCTTGTTAATAAACTTTTTATTTATTACAGCCAAAGAGCAGTATTTATTATCAGATGTTCTTTTTTTTTAATGTTGATCATTTTAAACTGTTGGCAATAAAGCTAATGGAAAAGCAACAGCACTTCTTGTCCCATGGTCTGTCTGTCTGTCTGTTATGGTCCATTGCAGGGCTCAGTCTTCCTCGGTCTGGACGGCATGCATGGGACATAGACGCGTACTGGAATTAGATCTTTGCTTCTCTACTAGCTTCCAGGCAGGCAGAGTAGACCTCGCTTGACAAGAGTATAAGGAAAACACTGCTCTTGTTGCAAATACAGGCCTCCTACTAACTCCACACCAGCCTCTCTCCGGAGGGTTCAGCCTGCAGCTGAAGCTGCTGTGATCTGTGTAAACAGACTCTGTTATTGGTGTCAGGAGGTGCAGGAAGTTTATCTTAATATGGACAAAACGCTGTGCTGTATGTGCCCGCACCTCCAAGTGTATTACTCACCGAACCTGCCCCAACGCCTCCCGCGCCACTGGCAGGACCGGGCTCTCTCGGTGGGGGAAGGGCTTCCTGCACAGTCGTTCTGTTTTCCTTCTGGTGCGCGGTGGCGAGGACAGCATGGGAACCAGCTCTGCTCTCAAACGACCAAGTCATCCCTGAGCAGACAGACCTTCTCTTCCGTGGGACCTGCCCTGGGCCAGGCGTGGAAAGCTGCCCGGCCTGTTCCTGAACTTGCAGTGACCCGTCGTCCGGAGGCAGTGCCTGTGCTGGGTGGTGACCTGTGTGGGAAGGTGCCGTCCTGAGAAGTCCGCGTCTCCCATCAGGGCGGGGGCCGCGCTGGGATCCTGCACTGTGGTGCCGAGGTGGAGGTGTGATTGTCCAAGTCTCTACAATTATCAGCAGCTGCTCCTGATGTATTTATTACTAAAAGTCAGGTCTGGAGAATTTGCCTTGGATATTCCACAGGTCCCAGATGGCAGGAATGCTCCAGCCGTGTATACAATGTGAGTCTGTTAAGTGGCTTAGAGCCGTGGTCGGCAAACTCATTAATCCACAGAGCCAAATATCAACAGCACAAAGGCTGAAATTTCTTTGGAGAGCCACATTTTTTAAACTTAAACATCTAACGCCACTCCTTCAAAATAGACTCTCCCAGGCAATGATATTTTGTGGAAGAGCCACACTCAAGGGGCCAAAGAGCCGCGTGTGGCTCTCGAGCCACAGTTTGCCGACCACAGGCTTAGAGAACTACCGGTAGCTGAAAAAGAAATTATACTCATCGCTGGGTATGCAAAAGTAGAATCTAATCTTTCAAGCAGAGAAGAAAAAAGCGGGAGTGGGCAGATGGTGGAAGATGTTCTTTGACTCTGGGTCGCACAGTGTAAGGCCACATAGTACCATGCAGCTTGGAAACCTGTGCTTGTCCGTCGTGTGTGCTGAGGGTCCCCGGGTCGGACATGTGGAATAAACCCACACCCTCCCTGCCCCCAAGGAAGTCCCAGCCGAGTGGAGGAGACGGTGCATTTACTTACTAGCCTGATGCATGGGTGATGTGATGATCCAGGTATGCTGGGTGTTCTGGGAACTAGGAATCATGAAGGAGCCCCAGGCGTGGGGTGGGCGCAGTGGCTGAATTCCAGAGGAGGAAGTTCTCATTCATTGGGCTCTTCAGACGATGGGGTTAAGGAGGAGAAGGCGGCGGGGAAGGTGTTCTCAGCGGTGGGAATTATGTGCACGGCGCCCGGGACGAGCGCTCACCGTGACAGTGGGTGTGTCGGCCTGGCAGGCAGAGCTGGAAGGAGCAGACAGCAGGCCTTCCGCGTGCTGCCCTGGCGTGTGGGCTGCACCGAAGGTTATGCTGATCACAGGTTTTGAGGAGGAAAGGGACCTTGTATTTGAGTTTTAGAGAATTTATTCTGTTGGCAAACGGGCTGGGGATGAAGATGAAGAAACCCAGCTGCACAGCCTCAGAGCTCTGGTCCAGGAGAGAAGGGACCAGAGGACACGGAGGAGTGGAGTTAGACCCAGCATCTCCTAGCCCACTGGCTCACGGCCGCCTTCCAGAGCTGGGTCCCAGGCCTGGCAGAAGGTGGCCAAACACTGAGTGAATCAGGGAAGGACAGTAGGCTGGCGAGGGATTTGGAAAGTGGACTTGCAGAGCATTCAGCTGATTGTGAAGCCTGAGGAAAAGGATGGGGCTCAGGATGATTGGCTGGAGAGTGGGGAGTGGGGGAGGGGGTGTTCTGTGGGACAGAAATAGATAGGAATACAGAAGAGCAGATTCAGGAAAGGATGGTGCATTCAAGACATGCTGGATCAGACCTGTGTGAGGATGCCCACATAGGCCTAGAGAACAGTGGAACACACATGTCCATGTCCTGAGAGCAAGACTGGGGAGTAGCCAGGTTTGGGCAACATCAAAGGAGGATAAGAGAGCACAGAGGAGGGTCCCTGGCATCCAGCCGCATTCCTACGGTGCTGAGGGCAGCCACAGGGGCCCAGCCAAGCAGTGGAAGTGGGGGAAGAGGCTAAGACGTTCCCCAGTTCATTCCACTCTTCCAAGCCAAGGGAGCCTGCAGTCCATAAAACACCAACAGGAGCACCTCGGGCCTCGAGAATGTCTCTCAGCCGCCTCGGATCCTGGAAGTGGATGGGCTGAGGGTGAAGGCGTCCTGACTTCCACTCATCCTCCCGATAGGAAAGGGAAGGTGAATCGATATGAAGGCTCAGGCACTTTCAGAGCCAGATTGGGACTTAGCCAGCAGACTCTTGGTTGGAGTCTATTGTCAAATAATTGTCTTCATTGAACCATTGGGAGCTTTCAGACAAAAATGAGCATTTCCAACTCCTTTTGAAAAATGTCAACATCAGGCAAAATTGGGTTTGTATTTCTGCTTAAGGCCTATCAGCTGGAGCTGAGAAACACCCACCCCTGAGGGAGGGACAAACCCTCCCCAGGGTCCTCACGTGGCCCCTCACCTCACCTGGCCCCTCCCCTCACCTGACCCTTCCCCTCCCCTGGCCACTCCCCTCTTCTGGCCCCTCCCCTCACCTGACCCCTCCTCTCACCTGGCCCCTCTGGACCTGTGAATGGAGCCTCTCAGAGCAGGTGAGACTGAGGAAACCTATCTTCAAATTCTGATGACAAAAGCTGGTTTCATGTCTATAAATTTCTTGTCATTCAAAAGAATAACAAGGGAGACATGACCATGTGAGTTTTCTCCTCTGTTTTAATATTGTCTTTATTAATGATTCCCTGTGCCCATTGCCTCCTCGTTTCCAGTTCGGATGACCTGGGGGAAAGTGTGGACTGGGTGTTGAAGGTCAGGTGGAGCTGAAGGTCCTGACCCAAACAAGTGAAGACCAACCAAGCCTTCAGAAGCCATCGGACTCACCAGAATGTGCTTGATGCCTGTTTGCCAGGATTTCTGTCGAACCAGCAGAAGGTGGTCATGTTCCTCTCACATAATTCATGGTGAAACCCAGGGTGAAGGTGAGTTTGGAGGTTTGTAGATGAGGAACAGGAGGTCATTCCTCATCTGCCTGACACGGCTGGTTCGAATACAATCTCGTTAGCAGGCACTCTAGCCCATCCCGCTCCTGCTGTCGGCCTGCTGGACCGGGCTGCTGACTCCGGGACGCCTGAGCTGTGGGCTGCCGGCTGGTTGGCGCTCCCTCCCACTGGGTCGAGGGGAGGCAGGGCATTAAGGTGGGCTCTGCAGCAGTGGCCCCTGCCCACCTGGGCTTGACTTGGGTCTCCTGTTCCCATCCGCTGCCCTGAGGCTGCAGCTCTGCCACAGGGGTTAGGACTAAACACTGAGGAATGTTCTCCACGGGGATCGGTCACAGGGCAGGGCGAGTGACTAAACTGGCCCGAGACCAGCACCCGGCTTCTGGGTTTACCTCAGTAATACACTCTGAGTGGAAGCAGTTAAATCTTCCTCCAAATACAACATTCATACCTAGACTATTTATTACCAAGTAGAATAACCTCTGACATATTGTGCAGTCTGACATATTGCTCTCAGGTTCACAACAAATGTCTGCCTTGCATTGCTCATGTTAAAATGATGTCCTGCCGAGGCTGGTTTGGCTCAGCGGTAGAGCATCGGTCTGAGGACTGAAGGGTCCCAGGTTCGATTCCAGTCAGGGGCATGTACATTGGTTGCGGGCACATCCCCAATGGGGGGTGTGCAGGAGGCGGCTGGTTGATGTTTCTCTCTCATCGACATTTCTAGCTCTCTGTCTCTCTCCCTTCCTCTCTGTAAAAATCAATAAAATATATATTTTTTTAAAAAATGATGTCCTGAACAGCACAGAACTGGTGTTTACTAACATAGTAATCAAAAACTGCATTAGAAAATGTCATTGCAAGTAGACTTTGATAAATGCATTCAGAAATAGCAATGAAAACATGGTTGTTCATCTGAACATAAGAATGTAAATTAATACATTTCCAAAGCCCTAAAGTGTGTGTGTGGGGGGGGGGGGGGGGGGAGACACACAACAACTATAGTTTACCTCAAAGAAAATATGCAAGTTAAAACTTAAGGCAAAAACAAAATCAGTTCCCCAAATAAGAAACATTTGGGGCTGAAACAAAAAGTAAGTAAATTGT